CCCCCCCCAGCCAACAACACACACAGTAAAAATGTGTAATGAAGGGTGTCTCAAAAAAAAAAAAAAAAGGAAGACCCACTTATACAGAGGGTTATAAATGAGTTATTTCTCTTCTGATTTCATCAAACCTTCGAACTTCACGTAATGAAATTCAATCAGGCGGGCATCAATTTTATAAATATGAATAGAAATATCAAGTTTCAAACATTTCAAGTGTATTCGGGTAAAATGCAAAACTTTACTTCTTAAAAGCATTCAGTTGCAGGGGCGTAATCGGCCTGCTCTGCTTTCTGGGCCAGAACGGTAAAACCAAGAGAGTCACATCCTATGGATATCTCATCGTATTGAAAAAGTTTAGCGACCCATGACCTTTGGCATGAGAGGTAAGCTCTATTTACCTGGCCAATAACGAGGTCTTCTCTGCGTCAAAGATGCAAAACAAATAAATATCCTAAATCGGTAGTCGCAGGCGCAGAGAATGGCTTCAGATTTACTTATTTGTGAGGCAGCGTGGTGAAATCAGGCGCTTGTCAAAATAATGAAATAAAAGAAACTGAAATTTTTCTGTCGGTTTGGCAATTTTTATGGAATTTTAAAAAACAATTCAAAACCTTTTAAGTCCATTAAAAAACACATATCTCTGTAGATGACACCCAAAAAACTTTGATTAAAGGCAAAAAAAAAAAAGTACATTTGCAGTTTGTAAAGACTCTCGAGCTTTGGCAATGGCCAATCTTTGGTGACCAGTCTCATGCTAATTTAACATCTGAACCACGTGACCCCCACTTCCTTCATTCGCAAATATCTCGACTTCTATTCATGATAGAGTAGTATTTTTTTCAACCAAAGCGAGACAACAAATGAACAAGCTTTAAAATGATACCAATAACTCTACATGTCAAAAATATTGATGAGTGCCTGATTCCACCGTGTCGTGACACGTTTGTTTACCCTCCGTGGTTGTTCCAGTGGAATGCTCGACTTTCGGCCCCGTACGGCTACTTGTTCCCTTATTCATGAGGGTGAAGCGCACCCCAGACGATAGGTTGCTGAACACACACCAGTCAGCTGTTCCGTTGTTAAAACCGCAGTACGTCTTTTGGATGTTCCCAGGTGTCGAAGCTTTGGAGGAGAAGAGATGAGACAAGAGGTAAGATAAGATAAGATACATCTTTATTGTCCAGATCCTGGCACATTGCTTTGGTGTTTCACCATGCACACGTCATACACATACAATCTCTCTCACACACACACACACACACACACACACACACACACACACACACACACACACAAACATGCACACACACGCATATGCACGCGCATGTGCACACCCATATTCACACGCTATCTCACACATCCTCTCTTCCAAACACATTTTTGCACATAACCATAATAATGCAAAAGTATGCTTACACTCACAACCATGCTCACAGTCACATGCATTATACAAATGAACAGATATTATAAACATTAACAGTGGCTAACAAGATACGTACTCGGTATGCTGATTATAACTCAATGACATTCTGATATTGCATGCTTTAAAGGTCATAGGAATACTTATATCAAGATGTTTAAGATTGTAGAAGATTAATGGATGATGGTAAGAATGGCCTCCTGTATCTTTCTTTGTTACAGAGAGAACGGCTGCTGTGATATGGATCGCCGATTCGGCCACATCGGTGGTCAAAGCGGCGGAAAGAACACAATATATTTACCTTAATAAACACAGGCGATCATTTATAATGGAGAAGACTACTCTACCCCTCTTTATCCCCTTTCTCCCTGTCCTTCTGCTCTTACTCTTCTTCTTCTCTGTCCCCCTTTTCCTTTCTGCTTTCTTCCCTTAGCCCACCCCCCCTCCCTTCCGTCCGTTTTTCCCCCTCTTTTTCCAAAACGTTGATTAATACGTGAAATGAAAATAATTATTATTTTAACACTCGTTAAAAATTATTCATTATTTTTCTACCTTTGAAAGAATTTCACATCACGTTTTTAAAGCTTCCCATTTTTTCCTATTTGAATGCAAAATTCCTTCTTTATTTTATAACAGAACACAAAGTGAATTTTATACCTCCAAACATAAGACTATGAACAATCATAACAACACAGAAACCTCGACATTCTTCAGGAAAGCAGGAGCTATAGTTCTACCTGGGAAAGAACCAGTAGAGGTGACCCCAAGAGCTGCCTGGCATGTCTTCAAATCCCTTGTGGCGTTGGTCAGGTCGGTCCTCAGACCTTGGATCTCCTGACTCGCCTGGCCCAACAGGCGCGATAACTCCTTCTGTGTGTTGTTCAGTTCCGCCTCCTTTTGCTGGAGAGCCAACACCAGGTTTTGTTTGTCAGCTTCCAGCTGGGTCAAGGCCGCCTGGGCGTTCGTCAGGTTTTGGTTGTTGCCCTGGAGTGTCTGGCGCATATCTTCAACCTGGGAGGAAAATACAGTCGACCCTGTTCAAGACAACTATCCGTTGTCGAGGAGAAGAGTAGTCATCCAAGACACAAGTTTAGTTGAAAAATGACAATTTATAGTTTGTCCTTTGGCATGCCACCGGATTATGGGGAAATTATATGCCCTGCTGGACGAGTAAATTTCCGAATCAACGAAGTCGTGTGGATCTCAGATTTTCACCTGTTTGCAAAATTGGTAATTTCAACGCTTATTTCTTTCTGAAGATATTAGGAAGTTCCGGAGAGTTTTTAAGACTCTTCGCGCATTTGGCTCAGCCCTGTTGGAGATTAACGCTAGTCCCGCCTCTTACATAGAAAACCTTAAGGTGTTGAAAGGGGTGTTAAGTCCATATAATTTCTAAATTTACGTCAAATAATGATCATGGTCAAATGGACTGCTAAGTGTAAGATTCCTTCATACACCGCTTTGAAAAGTGACATCTTATGACGGATTCTTACACTTAGCAGTGGAAATAGAAGACACAGACAACACCTGTCGTACCTGGCGCTTCAGAGCTGTGAAGTCGTTCCTTAACTGGGACACATCTCCACAACACGTTGGGGAGGAGGAGTCTACGATCTGAAAAGCAGACAAATTTGTCACAACGCCATGAAATCAAGCACTCATCAGAATAATGAAATCGGAGAAATACTCTTTCCTGCTCGTTTGGCAATTTTCATTGATTTT